AACAGCCAGCAGCATATCAAGCATCACTCTGGAGACTGGTAGGTCACACTGGAAACACCCTCTCTATCCTATGCTCCTCCCTGCTCCTAGCTCTGTTTGCCTGTTTGGATTAAAAGCTACTCCATGACAAATCTTGCTTACGTTCACTGTGTGTTTGTAGAGCTCCTTGCACAATGGGATTTTAATTCCAAGTACTTCCGATACATAAATATTATTGTGCATACGCTATGCACTTGTGCTATCTTATATTTATAGCCTATGTGACCTGACACCATTCTTGATGTGTCAAGGAGTATCTCTTTTCATTCAGTTCTTCCTAAGACATCTTATTAATCTACTCGCAAAGTGATGATGACTTGTTTAAATTGTTAAAAACACAAAAACAGCTTTGTGTAAGCAGACCTCCATCGGCTTTGGTTGCATCACTGACCTCATGTGATCACACTGGCTAAAAAGTAGAAGATCTGACCAAAAGAGAGTGCCTCTCCTAGAAACCTAGATTTCTATCTAACCTAGAAACCTGCCTATCCACTGACAGGGTGGTAGCATACCAGCACGAGCTTACATCTTCTGTGCAGACACAGAAATACTTATTTGTAATTTCTGAACAGTTATCATCAATCTGTTCATTGACTGAGCTCACTGTGAAGTACTGGCACGCTGACTTCCAGGGAAGCCATTTGGAGATGAATATATTTGGAGACAACTGGAGTTTTATCATACAAAGATCATCACATTTTCCTCCAGACCTATAAAGCTAACAGTGCTTAATTAACATTAATCTTGTTCCTAAACATCATATCTTCATTGTGCTGTGAATTGTATTTTCCCCTACACATTAACTTTCATATAGCCTGTAACAGTAAAAACAAACAAAATCTGATTAATTCAGTTTTATGATTTACTATTAACTACATAGCAGCTTTATAAGGCTCTGACTTTGATCATAAAGCTCCGCTGTTCCTGAGAAGCCCTTATTTGTGCCTAATGCCATCTCTGGCCACACAACAGTATCATCAGTAGCTTTATCTTGACCGCCCCGTGCAATATTTGGACTGCAAGTAAGAAAAAAATAGTTATTTTAGCACACCTTCAAGACAAAGCCCAATAGCTTCCCTATCATGAACAGCTGAGATATTTCACACTTCACTCAGTTCTTGTAATGTGGTAGAAAAAAAGAAAAAAGTTAATTGGATTACCAAATGACCTTGTATTTCTATAAAGGGATCTGACACTCAAATGAGCAGGGAGGAAAGAGAAGCTAATACAATTTTCTCTTTTCAGTCCTATCTGGACACTTACTCTATATGCTATTTCTTTCCCTTTTTTTAAGCAAGGAATGGATTACATTTGATGTTCACCTGTTTTTTGCATAGCTCTTATTTGTTCTTGTCTGAATCATGTTTGTGTTTAGGACAGAAACTGATTACTAAACCTCCTCATAATGGCTAGCTGCTGCCAACCCAGTGAAACTATTTGATCCAAGTTTCACATTTTCATCCTTCCGCTCAAATGTCTCAACATGTTCCTCCCTTGTTCCTATACTCTCAGCAGGTTCCTGTCTTGTTCTTTACCTTCTTCATCCAACTTCTGGTTTCTCAGCTCCCTCTTTTAAAGCTATTTGCCTACATCTCCTAATGTTTATATAATCTGCTCAGTTCTTCAGGAGCTGGAAATCTAAGTGGGAAAGAATCTCTCTCCCCCATCCCCCCCCCAAAAAAAAAGAAAAACACAAGTAAGTAAAGAATTGAGTAAGTGAGTAAAGAATTGAATGCATTCCAGCCTTCCCCCTCCTTCGCTTTTCTCATTCAAAAGGTAGGCCAGGGTCCGTTTGTATGGTGTGTACAGATAACAAGCAAACACCGTGCATAGAAACAACAACATAAGCATCTGTTTGTTTTGGCCAGAGGGATTTGCCTCTCACTCTGCTCACATTGTGGGAGTCTCAGATTCTGAGTCTGAGACGAAGAGCCTGACTCCAGTTCTACTATATGCAGTAAGGACAACCTGGAGTAACTGCACTTCATTAGAAATCTCATGTGCATAGCTCATCAGAACCAGAAACAAACTATGAAACACCTTGTATGCTTTGTGTAATATATGCATAATTAAAAGTGATCTGCAAAGTTGAGTCAAGCTTATTTGTCCTCATCTATATCCGTGTTAGCCTGTAAAACATACAGCCTGGAAAACAAGTGTCTTGCATACTTTTCATTTCACTCATAGGGCTGATTCATGCCAGCAAATACTGAAACCCCACCTCATAGTTTGGAAAAGTAATTTCCATTCCATTACTTTTGCTTGAAGCTAATACATGCTATTACAAAACATCTGAAGTAAAACTTTAACCATTTCACTTAGCCCAGCTGCAAAGTTCAAACCTCTTTTTAAAGTTAATTATCTTGCTCCAACCTGCACATATGCACACATTAAATACAAATAAATCAATACGGCTTATTGCATGTTTCAATTTGCTTTGTGTTTTTAAAATTAGCATAGTTTTGCTTTGCCTAACAGATATATAAGTATGATGGTATCTTAGAGATTAAAGTTTTGTGTTTTTCTTTGTAGTTCCTTTGCTAGTTTATAAACCCAAGGACCTTGAGGGAGTGTCGGAAATCCCCATAATTTTCCTCACTGCTCCATTTTACCTTTTCTTTCATGGAGTTAATACACGTCCAAAAGAAATGCACATAGCCAGATGGGTCCCTAGTGTCCATATACACAAATGTCCTGACAGACACAAGTGACTTTAACTAAAGTTGAGGTTGATTTATGTTTGAGAATATTCTCTAGTTACCCTTTTCTCATGCTAGGAGTGTTTGTGATCCAAAAGATTTTTTTTTGGGGGGGGGGATTTTAAGTAGGTTTTTTTTTTTTAATGGCATAAATATTTGAGGAAAAAAATGTAAATTGCCATCAGCATGCTCAGAGTTAGCATTTCATGGTAACATTCTTCTTTCTTGACTAGTATTGCCAACTTACTAAACGTCTGGTAAAAGAAAGGTTATTTCATATTTTCTTTTGTGGTTTTCTGTGCTCTGCTTTGAATCACCCTGCAACACCACAGCAAGAAAGAATACCGAATTGGCTGATTCACTGGTGTTGCTTGGCGTGGTGAGCTCTAATTGCACTTATCTGTGGGGATTTTCCAAAGCAGACAAGTGACTTCTCCTTTTGCTGGATGATGCTGTCAGACTTTGAGGCCTATGGTTGTTACCACATTTCAAGGATAAGCAGCTTTACGTCACATTAACATAGTCATATTAACTGGTCATTGACTGAGCAAACTTTCTGATAATGTAGTTTAACTGCTCTTTATGACAGCAAATGTCCATCTATTTCTGTGCTGTTTAGTTGTATCAAGGAGGAGAGCTGCAAAAACACCAGCATTTTTAAGGACTCTTATAGAGTTTAGTTTGTTTGATGGCATCAACTAATTCGCCTTCAGGATATGATCTGAAGTAGGTCAAGCTGTTTAAAAATATGCACTTATTTTCTGGCAAAATCAATGGCAAATCTGATGTTTTATTTCAGAGCAAGGCCTATCCCATTATTTTACATTCTCACTATTGCAAGTGCCTTCTAATGTTAAGAAAACACTAACTTCGCTAGGCTGGTACAGCTTGGGCAAGAACCCGCCTCCAAAATACGTGACCCTACGTCAGGTGGATGACCTTTTACACAAACTGGCCTACAGACACAGGCCATAAAGATTCCCACGTAGAGGGACAAAATTAAAGTGTTCTGTATTCAGACACATGCCCAAATGATTAGTAGGACTGACTGCTCCTGTGCCAAGCAAACGACTGGAGCACATAAGAGCAGGAAACAAAACTTGATGGCAGGTACTGCTTCCCTGCAGGCACCCATTTCCCTTGCCACACACCTGAGCTGTGGCACATGGAGCAGGGTAAGATCTGCTCCTTGAAGTACAGCAATCATAGGAAGATGCTGGGCATTTGGAAATTTGCACCACACGGGTCAGCCCAGATCACCACATGCACAAACCTTGCCTAACAAATAGCCCAAAGCTCAATATCCCATCAGCTTTAATGGGGCTATGTTGCTGTTCACGGGCTTCATCCTCAGCTCGTGTTTTCTGGAGAAAATTTCCAGCACAAGTCTCTTTCCAAAAAGGGAAACTTTGCTAAGATCTCAGTGTCTTGGGCAAAACTGAGGTAGAGCAAAAGTAACTCCTAGTATCCTACACCGAATTAAAAATATATATATATATAAACAGCCAAGGCCCCCTCCTGTGTCCTGGGGTCTCTGCCCCCGACGACAGCTTTCCCTCTCTTCACAGTGACACCTACCGGCCTCCTCCGGCCGCTTCCCGCTGCCCTTCGCCAGCAGCGCGGCTCCCCTCGGGGCCGCTCCACGAGGATAGGAGTGCGGAGGAC